ACTCTTTTCTTTTGCACCTCCCCCCTGTATGGCAATTATCGCAAGCCAATACTTACAAATATTTAAAAATGCAGGCTTTCAATTTCAAGTTGTAACACAGTGACGCACTTCTCGAGGATTCCACGTCAGCTGAATGCCATCTGGCCAGTTTTGTGCGCTGAACTTCTATCAAGGGCCATGATGGGTTTCCGCTGAACGAAACGAACGTGAAATGTTGTAAAGCGACGTTAAACGACGAACTGGCTTGTTCTGACCCATAGACCTTGAGGTGTAGTGCTGTGTTCTATTGAAATGGGTAGTTTTCCCAAGAACGAATATGTTTCCCACGTCTTACGAACCATAAAAACGTATTCTCAGCCACTCAACCCTTGCCATCCAGTTTCCATCACTCTATCTGGCTTGTTCATTAGCAAAAGATATTCACTCCACTTGAAAAGGCCGCGAAGCGGCAGAAAGTGGTTAATCCTTGCAAAGCCGGCGACAACTTTCTGCGGATCGCTGGATTGCACAGCGAGTTTTTGTGGTTTGAAGGGTTTCCCTTCACGTGTAGATGAAAAAGGGTATCGAGCAACACCTGTGGGTGCCAGATTTGATTTCGGATAAGATAGGATAATCTGAAAAGACGTCCAGTCGATTTTTGGTGCAAAAAGAGCAGAAGCGAGAAATATCATTTTCTTCTGCCGAGAGGCTTCTTCGACAATCCACTGGCGATCGAAAAGTGCTTACATCCCATGGGCAATCGAAAGCTGCTTAAAAGGCTCGTACGAGATCGCCATCTTGAGCGGTTTCCTTCACTAGGATGCTATCGAAAGATGGAGTGTTTCGAAAAAAAAAGCATTCGACAAATTTCACCGATATTTCGCCTATCTTGGCTTCAGTTTCTGGCTTCTTGAGCCATTTCCCACCGAAGTTGGGAGTTAGTGTTACACTGTAGTTGTAGTGAGAGGTAAAAAAGGTCAGTAGCTCATCATTCATCGGTGTGTTCTTGAAGAGCTCCACATATTCGACTTTCATTCCGAACACTTCTGCCTAACGAATGCTTATTTGGCCTGTACACTTGCGGGTCCCAGTCCTGGTACAGGTCAAGTTTTTACCCTCCGAACTGCGGGCTCTCGCGGCAATCAATCAATGTGGGAGGGCGATTTATTTGTGTGGACGAAATTCTACGCGGATCCTGAACTCGAAGAACCAACGCATTTGTCCAGAAAGATTGAGTAAAGTTAAGTTTTCGAACGGAACATACACTGGTTAGGCTTATTTACCCTGACTCTGGGCTAATCTTATGCCTTCTTTAAACGTACCCTACAGACATTGCCTTCGCCCGCATGACCTTGAAAACCTCATCTCATAGCTTTTGAAGAGTAGCTATTAGCGATCCATTCAAACCGCATTGTTTTGCGCACTCTTTTAGCTCCAAGATCGACCATTAAGATATCTATGGACCGGCTTTTTCACTTTGATCACCTCGAATACAGATTTGTTGGTTGGCATTTTCGCTATATCAACCCCTGTGGCATTATCGGTTTTCCATCCCGCTTGGTGTATGCAAACCACAGTAATTCAAAGGCTCACTTTTGTGGTGTATATTCAAAACCACGGGTCGAGATTAGGTCCTAAGAGCCAGTCCCTTCTAGAGTGAGAAAGAAGGGTTTCCAGGCGCAGGAGTGGCGACATTGTAGCGAGTGGAGAGGCAACACGGCGAAGACTTGAAAAGACTTGTGCAGCCGCTTACTGCATCCTTGATCATCGCGGAATATATGGCCATTCTGAATACTGCTCGGAGGCCAGTACTTCATTGCGTCTTCGCCTTATCAGCAGCGTGTGTCTCTCCGTCATACGCGTCACTCAGCAGGGATTATTTCAGGTGTTGTTCCCAAGATGCTTGCTTTTTCTCCCATTTAGGTTTCCTCATTGTACTTCATGACTAAAGTTTGAAAAAACAACACCGACATAATGGTTTCAAGATAACGGCGAAGAGTACTACATGTTGGGCAAAATTCACGGTAACAGTATTGCTACCGTAACATCTCAGACTCGTTCAAACCTAATAAATGCTTACGGCTAACGAGATCCCGGGACACACCCGCTAGATCAATCGCCTGCATACAAAGCAAAATTGCGTGACATTGGTGCAGCATAACCTTCCTGAATGTAATTGAACGAGTAGGAACGGTAATCTCTGCATTTCTAACTAGATAGTCATTCTGCGCCAGAGTTTTGCTGAAACAATGGCTGCTACAAGTTATTGATGCTGAAGTGAAGCATAGCCTAGGACAAGTTTGATGTCACCTATCTACACACATACACGATGAGTTTCAGAGAAGACTTCGCTCAGGTATCAACGCAGACAACCGTCAGTCCGAAAAGCGGCTTTGCATTCTGTTTGATACCTTCCCATAAATATTATTTCTGACGAGCCACCAATCTCCCCCTCCCCCCCCCACCCTGTGGTGAGAGAGCGTAGCGTTGAAGAGGGCACAGCGATGATAGTCGCATCAATGCTCAAATCAACGGGCAAGGAAGTGGTCCCATTTCTCAGGTTCTGGGCCGTTTCGCATGGTTTTTCCTTCTTTAGTGTACCACTCACCATCGCTAACTTAATTTGAATATAATGGTTTGCCTTTCAGTGTGAATTGGTCTTTCCGTAATTACCCCAAAGGAGAAATTAATTGACGAACTGGAGTATGTCGAATGCCTTCCTGAGGTTTTGGCCTACAATAACGAGTTTTGTCAGAAGGAGAGTTCTTCAACAGGGGTCTGATTGAGAACAATATGGTGTATACAGTTGTGTTGTTTTTTTTTTAAATTTCAAACCAAAAGGTTGTGTTTCAGCAAAGTTGTGGTGCTTCAAAGTTGGGGACTCAAAAAGGCGGACCGACCTAATATACGGTCTACTTGTGTCATCCTGGCCGCATTGCTTTCCCAAGATCTCTTTATCTTGCTACAGTAACTCAGCCTTTGTACTACTTTTTATGCTATTGTGTAAATAGTTTCCATCAAGGCTACCCCAAAATTGGATATGCTACCAAGTTTCCTGATCGAAGTTTCTCATATTAAGTGCTCCGATTTTCTGGTGAACTCTTTCGGTTTGAAGGAACCCTTCTTGGCATGATCTGGGCAAAAAAAACATTTTGAGCAACGAACTCATAGCAGCCTAGGCGATGTTGTGAAGAGAAATTGAACTTGTTGGCCAAAAGAGATCAAGTTCGTTAACTTGGTTTGATGACACATCGGAACACGTGAACCGAATGTATGTCTCACTCGCTAGTTTGACTCGTTTCCAGACGAAATAGATCTTGCATGAAAGGATACCGTTAGTGCTGATGGGACTAATCGAAGTGTGGGCCATTACCGCTCAACGACTTCCTTACGATCTGGATTGATTAGTTACGGAGATACCTTTTTCGAAAAACAGGCATTCAATGGCACTGCGAACGGGTACAGACACTTTCTGGTTCAATTCAACTTCTGAAGAATTTTCAGGATGTAAATGGGCGCCAGAGTTTCGTTCATTGCCTTATATAGTCCGCATAATATTTATAAAGAAAAATAGTATTCTAGTTATCACAAGAATGCTGGGTTATGGCAGAGCCCTTTGCCCCACTGGAGCAATTAATAAGTTAATATGAAAAAGGGTCCAGGATCTACTTTCTTTTAGTCTTTGCATAGTTCCAATAGCATCCTATCCAAGTATAAACCAATAGCATTTCACCTACCCCCCAGATATGCTTCAGAGACCATAAGACTTCCGAGGGGTTTGCAAAGCACTAATACTCTGCTCACCAATATATTTTAGGAAGTGAAGACGGGAGCTCAAGGCAGGGTTTACGATAACACGACAGCCCACTGGAAATCAGGGTAAAGGCGGTCAGTCGTAGAGGGATGAAGAGAAAGCCATCGGAAAAGGCCCAGTCAGCCGATTAGTGAGAGTGCAGCGGTGCGGGTACGGCCCTGCTAGGCCGCTGGGAGCATACTTTTCGTTGCGAAAAGCGCGCTACCGCACCCTTCTCTCTTTTCATCCACTTTTTTGGCCTCTCACCTTTTCGTGGAATCACTCTCCAATCAAGGGAAACATCGAAGAAAAACATTTATACTCCCGTGTAACGGTCATTTCGGGAAAAACTAAAGGTGTTGAAACGGAACTTGAGCACATGAGGAACCTAAGATGGAGCCTGTGAAATTGTTTTGGACAAGCTGTTCGTCATAGACTTGCGAAGACGGTGTGGTGGCAGGAGGTGCAGCTCTCACTTTCACGAAAGGAATCTCCCTCACACCAACCAAGTCTTCCTACTCTCTGATGTTGGTTAATTTGCTTCGAAATTGCCTAGGAGAAACTGGTCCGAAAGTCGGAGAGCTTTCGATTGTCTTACTGTATCGGCTGGGCAACACTCAAATACCTCGACAGTTTCTGATGGGAATCTTACAAAAGCGTATTTCAATGGTATTTGATCCCAGCAACGAATTTTTTTCGTCCATTTACTTTTCGCTGATTTTTGTCGCTGCCCTAAAGGTGTCGCAGCGGTCGTGCACTCCTAATTGTTCCGTGCTAGCCGAATTGAATTCATGTTGGCCATGCGTAGTTCCTACAACAATTCTACCGCAATTCTTCATTCTATATTTTTATTAAATGTCTTTACAAATATACATTTAAGCTTACAATTATTACACTGGGAATACGGAGCGAGTTCGTGCCATTTCCGTTTTCGATGCTTCCAGAACACGTCGGATGAGAGGGAAAGTACCCACCGAAAAGCCCTTATGGACAAAACAACGTTTCAAGTGCGGTGTGGTGGGGCGAAGAGAAAAAGCTGCTCGTCGAGTGGGAAAAGGAGAGGGGTTGCTTGAAAACCCTGACGAATGTAAAAACCAGAGCCCCGTGATTGGAGCGCAGATACCAACACACACAAAAAAGAACGATGAAATGAAACATTTGCATAAAGAAAGACACATGAACAGAAATTCGCGGCGGATTATGTCGATTATCACCGCTGTTATCAAAATTATCTTCGAGTGCCGTCCTCGAAGAACACACCTCCGTCCAATGCGCAATATTTGGGGCAAATACCTGAAATCATGGACTGCTTTTACGTCGTGAAAGTAGTTTAGTGAACGTTGAAACGAACCTCGTTCTCCTTGTGGTCCAGGTTGTCCAGCTTGTCCAGCAGGTCCCATTTCTCCAGGTGGCCCTTGTGGTCCTGGTGGGCCCGGAGGGCCCTGTGGTCCGGTAAGTCCGTCAGATCCAGGTCGACCTGAACACACCAGTCCAGAAAGCTGATAACGTAATTCCACCCTAATTGTTAGAGAAATTGATGAACTTGAAGAACGTACCGCTTTGTCCAGCATCTCCGGGAAGTCCAGGTGGTCCAGGCTCTCCAGGTGTTCCAGGGTCTCCGGGTATAGCGGGTGTGCTAAATATGAAGTTGCATATCAAACGATGTGTGATTAATTTACCACTGTTACATACCTGAAAGCAGGGCGTCCAGGTTCTCCACGTGCTCCATCCCTTCCATTATCTCCAGGTGGTCCAGGGGGTCCAGGTGGTCCTAAAAAGGGTTAGTTTTGCTAGGGTGCTTTTGCGTTCTCATTGACCACAAACCTTGTGGTCCAGGAGACCCATCGTTTCCATTACGTCCTGGATGTCCAGGCTGGCCTGGGCTACCTTAAATAAGTGAATAGTGAGATATTCCGTATTACGCCAACAAAGGGTCCAGGATTTACTGAGGAGGCATGATCTTTGGCTTAACGAGAGCGCTAGAAAACGAAATCAGCTCACTCACCAGCATCGCCAGGTGGTCCAGGAGGTCCTGGTTCTCCAGGGGGACAAGGATTGCACGGTGGTGCCGTAACTTCCTCGCACACTCTTTAAATACACCATAGAAAAGTAGAAAAGCAGTAAAATATACTTATATTTACTTAATTCAAAAAGATATTTCATATAAAAAAGCGAGTGCGGAACGAAATGCTGTAAGATCCGCTACGATCACAATAAAAAACAGTAAAACGTACGCCGGTGGTCTTCCTGGGAATCCAGGTGCACCCGGAGCTCCTGGTCTTCCCGGCATTCCATTTTTACCCGGTGGGCCGTCAGGGCCTGGTAATCCAGGAAGACAACATCCTTAATAAACGCTATTTGAGTACCGTAATCCATAAGCAGAAAATTTGGGAAATTTCCACTGCGAATCACCAGGCGCTGGCCCTGTGCTGAACTTGTAATCGGCATAGATGCTCGATTACAAGTGCGGCACAGGGCAAGCGTGTCTAACAGGCTAGTCCTGGCTTCTTGAAAACCATTCTCAGCAGAGAAACTCACTAAATCCTCAAAAATTCAGATTTAGCCAGCAAATTCAATTTCAATTCAAACTTCATTTCAATTCAAAAAGACAGGACTTTGAGGATTAGACACGATACTGCACTGATACGTCCAGAACTTGTTCGAAAATGAAACGAGAAAAGGCACAGAAGAATAGTGAGAGGAACAGCTTACCCTGGCAAGTTCCTGAATCAATTTGCCTCTTTTGGCGAGTACTATTCTTAGGATGAGTGAGCCCAGGAAGCAGTGACCGCGGCAATGAGCGATATTCAGCCACCTCCATCATGACATCTCGTGCAGAAAGCTAAATACGTTAAGCTTGGAAATTTCAAGAGCTGGAAGGACAAGGACCCTACCTTACAAAGCTCCATTTCACTTTGAACTCGAGCGTGCACAGAATTAATATAGTTATTGACGATTGGAAGCGTAATGAAAACGGCCACGATGGCAACCAACGAAAAGGAGACGGCTGAGAAGGCGACGAAGCGGTAGGCCCGCTCTCGCCGATCCAAGTCCATCCTATGAATCAAGCGAATTTCGCGCGAAAATGTGCAACCGAAGAAAAGTGCAATGAGGAGGACACGGAGAAATGGGGCAAAGAGAAAGAGGTCGAGGCAGCCAGTCGCGAAGGCTTTATGATGGGTTGGTTCTTGGTGAGGAAGCAGAGGCGGAGGAACTGGATTCGATGAGTCGACCAACTGCGAATGTTCGACCACTTCGAATCCACTTCCGCGGGTGGCAACACATTAGCACATCAAACGAGTCAAAAAACAATAACGAGTACTGCGAAGAAAACCGGCACATATGTGGGCAGGACTTCTGCTCTGGACGGCTAGTGTGTTCTGAAGTGCAGTTCAGGCATTAAACACATGACCGACATCCAACGTAGCGGCTTAAGCATACTCCATTTTAAGCCTTTTATATCCATGATAGATATTTCTTTCTGTTCGCCTCTGGTGGGCGTGGCGCACCAATTAGAACGCCAGGTGAGCGAGGGGAGGGACACAGCTAGAAACAGCCCGAGTTGGAAGCCGCTCTCAAAAAATGAATGATGCGGTGTCGCGTCTGGCCGAAGCCACACCCCTCGCGAAAACGGCGAGCGATTCAATATGATGGAATTCGGTGTTTCATGACTTTTTCCAAGTTATTTAAAAAGGCGCTCCTGAAGCTTGTCGACAGGACAGAACTAAGTCGCGCATGGATTTTGAGAATCCGCGCTACAGAAGGTGTAGAAGCCCTCGCCGTAAGCCGGGTAGGGGTCAATACAGTCGCCTGGACAAATAATGAAGGATTACAGCAGTTGGATCCTAACGTGCAGCACCTGTGCCAGGCGTCAGCATCTTATCAACGTTGCTGAGGAACAGAGAAACCCTGTTCTCTGGTGGAGAGATTTGAGCATGACATTTAAGCTTGGACTGAAATTTATGAAAGAACTCGTTATAGAGGAGATTTGATCGAATTCTGCCCACAAAGTTTGGGCGTAGGTGTCTGAGCCTTCCGTTTTTATCACTACAGGGCACGAGCGTAATAAACGTAGTTCAGTCGGTGGGCAGTACTCCTTTCGAATATGTGCGCTATAAGAAAGTCCTTCGATTATCTTCTGAGCTTGGCGATAAAAAGTAGAGCATTAATTTAATTTTATTATTTTATCATTAAATCCTCTCATCGCTGCGTTCGTCAAACCTGCCCTGCTCCGAAC